TGGGGGGGAAAGCCATTGTCAACCATGAGACGTACTTTGGAATTTATATCTTTAATAAAGATCAAACAAAAAAAAAAAATAAAGTATCATGAGATCCTGAGTGTGCTAAGGGGGCAGTCAGCCAGGCAGGCAGGGGCCCAGGAGAGCCAGGTGTGCATGTCTGGGATGGGGGCATGCCATCCAGTGTGTGGTTGCCATCCCGGTGTGCATCCTGGGTAGGTGTCAGAGATGGGTGGGGCAGGGGCATCAGTGTAACCCAGCAAAGCCAGCGGCAGTGCCGACCCCACTGCACAGAAGCAGGGTGATGATGGAAGCTCCCGTATGTGCAAGATGAGATGGACAACAATACCTTTGGCTCAGGTACTCCCGAAAGAGAAATGAGACAACACAGTAAAAAACGCCACACTTTATAAATGGTGTGCAATCTCCCCTTGGCTAATTTTCTCATCATTCAGGATTTCCTCCACCCATCCCCAGCTTGCAAAGTCTTTCCCTCTTCTTCTTTTCTCCTCCCCTCCCCTTACTCTCAGGGGTCCTCTCACTTCACCCCCTCCCTGGTGTTAGTCACCATGGTCCCCCATCCTCCAGATGGGAAAATCAGAGCCCAAGAGGTAGAGTCACCAGCCTGAGCTCACACCGTCACCCCTATAGCAAGCAGCAGCATGCTCAGGTTTGCATCCAGGTTGTCTCGCTGCCAAAGGGTGAGTTCTTTCCTCCATAAGCCGCCATCTCCAGACAGCTGCTCATGAACAAAATGTATAGCAGAATGGGTTGTGAACGCTTTCTGTGTAGCTTAGGAAACTTGCCGTGTCATCTTCGTTTTCTCCAACTTTCTTCTCCTTTCCTCTTGAGCCGCCTGCTGAATTGAGTCCCAACCTCCAGCGTTGAAATTAGGGTATTCCAATTTACGACTCACTGGTTCAGCAGCCAGGACGGTCAAGTCCCATTCTGTACAGCAGAGGGCAGCAGAGCCCACACTAGTCAGGGAGTGAACTGGTGGCTCCCGCGAGACCGACTGAGCCGGCTTAAAACATGGTGTTGATGACCTGTTGAGTGCTCCCTATCTCTTAATTATTCCAGGCGTTATGTGCACTTGCAAATTTCAGGCAAAGTTATTTTTCTGCATGCTGTTCCCCTTGTCCCCTTCCCACTTGTCTACAACCTTTTTTTGATTCCTTTCGAAAGTTTGTTCAGCATCAAGTCAGACAGGACACTGCACATTTCAGGATTTGAATTTTATTTTTTTTCCCCCTGCAACTTGCTTTATTTATTTTTCCCCAGAAACCTTTTATTTAAGGAATACAAACTTCGTACAGTTCATAAATACAACTTTAGGAACATAGTGATTCTTCCCACCATACCCATTCTTCCACCCACTCTCCTACCCCTCTTCCTTCTCCTTCTCTTATTCCTACTCTTATTTTTTACTAAGATCTATTTTTAATTAAGTTTATACACATATGATTAACTCTATGTTAAGTAAAGAGTTCAACAAATAGTATGAAAAAAAAAAAACTGTTCCTCAACAGTCCAGACAGGGGTTGTTCAAAGTCATTGCTTCTCAAAGTGTCAATTTACTTCTATAGATTACCTTTTAGGTGCTCTATTAGTTATCATAGATCAGGGAGAACATATGATATTTGTCCCTTTGGGACTGGCTTATTTCATTAAGTATGATGTTTTCCAGATTCATCCATTTTGCTGCGAATGACCAGATTCCAGTTTTTTTTTTTACTGCTGCGTAGTATTCCATGGTATATATCCCATAATTTATTTATTTATTTATTTTTTGACAGGCAGAGTAGATAGTGAGAGAGACAGAGAGAAAGGTCTTCCTTTGCCGTTGGTTCACCCTCCAATGGCCGCTGCCGCTGGCACGCTGCAGCCGGTGCACCACGCTGATCCGAAGGCAGGAGCCAGGTGCTTCTCCTGGTCTCCCATGGGGTGCAGGGCCCAAGCACTTGGGCCATCCTCCACTGCACTCCCTGGCCACAGCAGAGAGCTGGCCTGGAAGAGGGGCAACCGGGACAGAATCCGGCGCCCCAACCGGGACTAGAACCCGGTGTGCTGGCGCCGCTAGGTGGAGGATTATCCTATTGAGCCGCGGCGCCGGCCCCATAATTTATTTATATAGTCTTCACTGACTGGCATTTGGGTTTATTCCATCTCTTAGCTATTGTGAATTGAGCTGCAATAAACATGGGGTGCAGATAGCTCTTTCATATGCTAATTTCATTTCCCTTGGGTAAATTCCTAGGAGTGGGATGGCTGGGTCATATGGTAGGTCTGTCTGTACTCAGAATTCTGAGGGATCTACATGACGTCTTCCATAGTGGCTGTACCAGTTTGCATTCCCACCAACAGTGGGTTAGGGTACCTTTTCCCTTACGTCCTCACCAGCATCTGTTGTTAGTTGATTTCTGTATGAGAGCCATTCTAACTGGGGTGAGGTAAAACCCTTTGTGGGTTTGATTTGCATTTCCCTGATGGCTAGTGATCCTGAGCATTTTTTCATGTGTCTGTTGGCCATTTGGATTTCCTCTTTTGAAAATGTCTGTTTAAGTCCTTTGTCCATTTCTTAACTGGGCTGTTTGTTTTGTTGTTGAGTTTCTTGATTTCTTTATATATTCTGGTTATTAATCTTTTATCAGTTGCACTGTTTGCAAATAAATTTCTCCCATTCTGTTGGTTGCCTCTTCACTTTGCTAAGCATTTCTTTTGCAGTACAGAAGCTTCTCAATTTGATGTAATCTTATTTGTCAATTTTGGCTTTGATTGCCTGTGCTTCTGGGTTTTTTTTTTCCAAGAACCCTTTGTCTATGCCAGTATCTTGCAGGGTTTCCCCAGTGTTCTCTAATGATTTGATGGTATTGGGTCGTAAATTTAGGTCTTTAATCCATCTTGAGTGAATTTTTGTTAAGGTGTGA